AAAAAAAAAAAAAAGTATAGCACATATACTCATGAGACCGTACGTGCATTTAGCTTTTTTTTTTTTGAGACAGTCTTACTTTGTCATCCTCAGTAGAGTGCCATGGTGCCTTAGTTCACAGCAACCTCAAACTCCTGGGGTCAAGAGATTCTCTTACCTCAGCTTCCCAAGTAACTGGGATTACAGGTGCCTGCCATAACACCAGCTATTTTTAGAGATGGAGTCTTGCTCTGGCTCAGTCTGGTCTTAAACCTGTGAGCTCAATCTACCCGCCCCGGCCTCCCAGAGTGTTGGTATTACAGGCATGAGCCACCAGGTGGCCCGACCTTGCATATAGCTTTTTTAAATGCCAGTCTTTCTCCCTCATACAGGGTGAGAACTCTGTCTCGGTCGATGGGAAGTGCACTGATGCAACACTGCTGAACAACCTCCTGGAAGAGATGAAGACTACACTGGCCACGTGCTGAGCTCACTTGGGAGCCCCACCTAAGCGCCTGTTGTGTAGCAGGCGCCAGTGGACCTGGAGATCTGGTGCGTCTTGCCACTCCTCTGTTGTGTGTACAGTACCCAAGCCTGAGCATTAATTTAACTCCATCATCATCTGCTGTTTAGATATCGAGGTTGTGTGTCACGTTGATTTATTTGGCCATCCTTTTCATTTTGACTCTTCCTACTCTTTAGCAAGAAGCTCCATTTCAGTCCCCTGACCAACAGGGGGCTCCCCACCTGCTCCCTGCCTGAGCCCACACTGGGGGCTGGGTCCTTGAATGTGGTCAAAGGGACAGCCTGTGGAGCAAGTGCACCCATCATCTGGGCTAGGGGTCTAGTGGGCATCAGGATGAGGTGTGCATAGTAGACAAGACTGATGCAGCCCCATTTCCTCTCCTCCCTTGCCTCTTCCCTGTGGCGGCTTCTGTCCCTCGACATCCTGACCAGTGGTGTCTACATAGAGGTGAAGGACAGGCCAACTGCCGTGGGAGGCCCTTCTCCCCAGAACCCATGGTGGAGGCATGGTCTGCAAGACTCAGGCCACTGGCCATGCTGTGTGCAAAGAATGGCCATGGGTGCCAAGGAGGGGCTGTAGTCAGCATCATGAGTTGACTGGGCTGGACCTTTCCATTTCCTTTTTTTCCTGGTTGACAGATTTATGTCTCTCTGGGCTTGGGTTCGGCTGAGTGGTTGCATTGTCCAATCTCACATGCCCACCCTCTGTTCCCTGCCATGCACAAAAGGCTCCTCCCTGTGTCATCCCATAGCTGCTGGGAGGGCCCAGGTTGAACATTAGGGGACATACATGGGATGGGGACTGACCTCCAGATAGGTCCCAGGAATGTTGTCCTTGGGCAGAGTAGACTCAGCAGTAAACCCCACCTGCCCATTCCCCAGGTGACTGCTGGGGCTAAGACTAAATGTTCCTTCTTCAGAGATAATGGTCCTCCAAGACATTTTAACTTTTCCTTTTGATGAAAACTGTCACTTTAGCATGTAGCATAATCTATTACAGAATCCCATGCATTGATTCTAGAATTTTGAAATTGTATGATGTGTTACACAAGAATTTATTTGCTATTGACATTCCCATATGGAGAGAGACATATCACGCTGCTGTAATGATTTTGTGTCAAGATGATCCAATAAAGCTGCAAAATAGACATTTCCACGTGGGGTCTCCTGCCCTTGCTGAGGTCTTAGCCATTGTAGAGACTGAGCCTCTGCCTTGACTCACATCCCTGGAGGCTACCTCGGCCCCCAGCATACTTCAGGCTCTTGGACCATGAGTACTGCAGGGCCACTACCAGGCATTGCTTAGGTACTGTGGAGACAGAGCCAGGGTCAGAGGCAGGAAAGCGACTGGCCCTGCCTGTGTCACTTTGCCTTGGTTCTCCACTACACCATGTAGATGGGGGACATTCAGCTTAGAAGTAAACTCCTAAGTGGGAAGGTGAGGTGTGCTGACCCAAACAAGGCCCTGTACCCAGCCCTGGCTCAGGGCCCACCCCTGCATCCTTTCCACAGCATCCTGCCCTAGAAACAGCCATGAGCCTCTTCTCACGGAGCCTCTTCCCATGTCCTCAGCTGCTGACATCCTTCAGAGGACCCAAAAGGAAGTGCTTGGTATCGGTAATAGGGTATGGTTGGCTCTGAGGATCTGCAGTCTATAAGGGTGTCCTGGAGCCCCCCCAATTCCATTCCTGACCTACACATGGGCATTCCCATGCACACAGTGGCCACAGGACAGTTGTTGGGGGACAGGACCAGGTCCTGAGCCGCCTCTTGTGCCAGGCATAGGGAAGGTGGAAGAATCCTGAAGCAGTAAGGAAACCACTCAGGCTAAGGTCACAAGTGAAAATGGGACAAGCAAGGGTGCTCAAGGGGCGTTCAGAATCACCTCTCTGCACAATTTCCCAAGGCTCCGCTCAAGTCAGTGATTGCTCAGCCGGGAGGGCCAGCCACAGTCCCCACCACAGAGAATGGAGGAAGCAGAGCCCACAGGTCCTGTGTCCCTTTGCCTTGGGTGCAGCTGGCTCTGGTTGCCACCAAACTACAGCCTCAGCTTTCATAAAGGGATCCCTTTGTACACTTCTGCAAGCCCCCCAGCTATGCTCAAGTGAGTCATAGTAAAACATCTCGGTCCAGGACTCTGAAGCCCTAGATGTCTCTGCCCCAGCCAGCCTATCTGGCTCATTTGCAGACCTTCAGGCCTTCCCTAAAGAGTACATTGCCAGCTCCTTCAGCTCCCCAAGTGCTTCCTCCCACCCCAAGTAAGAACTGTGCTTCCATAGGAAATGTCCGGGTACTTTAATCCTCCCATCAAATAGCTCTGTGGTCCTGCCAGGTACCGGTGCTATGTACAAACCTATCCCTTCCCTTCCTCCCTGCCCAGGCCAGCTTGGGCTCTATCGGGGGTCAGAGGGGGATCAGAGGCAGCAGCCAGCCTGCTCCAGAAGGACCGGGACAGTCCAGGGGAATCCCCCATCGTGCTGGGGGCAGGCCTTGTAGCTGTCAGTGTTGGGTCAGACACTCAGAGGCGATCTCCAAAGTCAGGTTGGCCAGATGTTGGGGCTCCAGACATGTGAAGCTCGGCGATACCAAGCTATTGGAGTGATAGGGTGTCTCAGCTCTTCCTGGTGCCTCTCTGCCTCATTCCTGGTGGGTTTGCCTGGGAAGCCCTGGACCTCTCCTCCCAGACAGGACATGGGTGGTCCTGTGCATGGCCAAGGGCCCTGTCCTCACCCCAAGATTACTAGGGTGGGTCACCCGGGTGACTGGGACTGTGAAAGGGAATTGGGGGGGGGGGGTCAATGGCACATTGGCAGGTGGAGTTTGATCTCTGGCTGTAGGTATACCCTGACCCTGGAGGCCTCCCTTCCCTGGGTCACTCACAAGGCTGGGGTGGTTCTGTGTGTCCCAGGCCCAGAGGAGGAGCAGCAGTGGTTTGTTCATGAAATGACCACATAGGCATGGTTGCAGAGGTGACATTGGCATGTCCCAGGCACAGAGAGAGCCATGCCCACAGTGCCCGCTGAACTGGAGGACACATGGCACCTCTCCACTCACTCCCTCTGCCCTTCCCTCCCCTCTGGAAGGCCAGACTGGGGTGGCCTTACCTCATGCTCTTGTCCTGTCTGAAAGACAAGATGGGGCCCAGTTAGGCTCTTCAGGGGCACCTGCATCCATGTGCTGTGGGGAGCCCTCCTGGGCTCTGGCCACAGCTCTGCCACAGAAGTGGGGCAAGCTGGAACTGGACTCTACAGGGATCCTTTAGCCAGGATGATACCCCCACCCCCTTCCTCTAGCTGAGTTCAGAGACTCTTGGGATCCAGGACCTGCCTCCTTGTGGTCCCCCTAGGACGTGGGAGCCTCGGGAGCCAGCTTCCTGCACATACTCACCAGCTAGATGCTCACATGTGCACACTGCCTCAGGTAAGGCATGTTGGGTTTGAGGAGGGGACTTACTTGTGCCAGTCACTTCTACAATGACAGTGGGTTTGGAGTCAGGGGTGCCCTGTGTTGGTGTCCCTTCCCCAAGCCTACGTGATGAGTTTGCTGCTGCCCAGAGATCCCCCCCTCCAACTCACATGTAATTGAGAAGGCCCTGCACAGCTGCCTCCCACTGCACCGAGGACCTGTTGGGACACAGGCATGGAGGTGGCATGTCCTCAGGCCCAGACCTCACCCTCCCTTAGGAGAGCCAGGGACAGCAGGGCCCTTGGTACAGGCAGGCTGATGCTTAAGCCCTACTCGCAGTTGTAGCCAAAACAGACGACATGGGAGTCTGTGCAGTTGTTGCAGGAGATGGTCTCATACTGGAAGATGCCTGCAACACACGAGAGGTCACCCCAGCCTCCCCTCAGTTTCCAGGGCCCTGAGCTGCTACCGCCATTGTACCCCTTGGCCTTGAATGGAGGCTCACTCACCACAGTGACGCTGACAGTCGATGCGGCCTATGGAAGGGGAGAACTTTGCTGTCTTACCCTGCAGCCCCCAAGTCTGCCAAAGGCTCAGGGCCCATTCACTAGCCACCCAGTTTCATGTATGTGTGTCCATGACCTAGAGGGATGGGATCCCAAAGAAGGTGCCTAGCATGGAGTGGTGCAAACCTCAGCAGGATGGTAGCAACACTCTTGAAGCCTCCAGGGAAGTCTGGGGGGGGGGGTGCCAGGAAAGTGGTGGCATTTATTCTTTGGGCTGTGCTGGTGACTATGGGATGACAGAGGTGCCCCACCTGGGGGTTGCCCCTCCAGCCCCCTTTTGTCCTGATTTGGCTGCCTTGTCACTCCAGCCCCAGTCAAGCCCTGCTCCACTGGCCGGACCCAGCTTCGAAGGAGCACAAGCTCTGTGAAGACCTGAAACGTAGTTCCCCCCAGGCCCTGAGCAGCAGTTCCTTCACCCCCATTTGCTCACTTTCGATGATGGCGTTCTGGATGAGACGCACCTGCTCCCGGAAGATGGTCCGCAGCTCATTGGGAAAGTACCCTGATAGGCGCAAGCAAGAGAGGGAGGTCAGGCGCCAGAGGCGGGCGAAGGTGTGGGTGTCCTGAGGCGTTGCGAGCCCTGCCTCAGTTTCCCGCCTCTCACCCGGGAAATACATCTTTCCCTGGTACAATTGGTCCATCCTCCGGTACACAAGTGTCGCCACTTGGTCCAGCTTTTCCCGGGCTGCGGGCAGAGACGGAATTAGTGAGCGGCCAGTCCGAGAGTCTTGCTGGGTGATCGGGGTCGGGCACTCACTGATCTCCGCTGGGATGGCCAGGTGCAGTTCCTTCATCGTGTCCTGGCTCCAGTCGGTGAGCAGCGCCCCCGACACGGGGATGTCGCCCACCCACCAGGACTTGAGGTTCACGTGGTGGCGGTAGAAGGAGAATTTCTCAGAGAAGTTGCCGTGGCAGTGCAGGCAGCCGCGGGCCAGCGCCGCGGTCATGCCCAGGCAGAGCAGCAGGGCCATGGCCCGCCCCCGCCCTCCGCCGACCAACCAACGGCGCCCCCGCGCCACGCCCATCGGCCACGCACCAACCAACGGCGCTCCCGTGCCACGCCCCTCGGCCGCGCACCAACTGACAGCGCCCGCTGGGGCCCTTAGCCGCGTCTCTGTCCTCCGGGATCTCATAACCCGGTTCCGCCCACCCGTCCCCAACGGATAACTGACCGCGCCGGATCCACCTCTAGACCCCGCCCACGAACTGCCACTCAGAGGACTCTGCTTCCGAATTGGTCCCTCGCCCATGCATCTCCAACGCAGGAGCCAGCTCCTCCTCCGGCCTGCTCCCCCTGAGACCCCGCCCTGCGCTGGTGCAATACAAGATGTGCCCACAGACTGCGAGCCACAGTTCCGCTAATGGCGTCAGAGGCAGGCCCTGGTTGCTAAGCAACGGAGAGCGTGTCCAACGCCCCAACCCCCACCAGGACGTCCCACCTCCAGGGCAGTCTCCTGGGATTCTGCTCACCTTCCCGCGCCCAGAGCCCACTGGACCCGCCTGGAGAATCTTGCGCGCCGCTTCCTATGGAGGCCTCTGTCCCTTTAAGAAAAGTAGGTCCGGTTTTCCGCGGGTGCGGTCAGACACAGCTTATGTTAACCGTGTCCGTCCGCCTCACGTCCCTCCGCGGCCCTGTGAGGCGGGTGGTCCGAGCGCAGAGGCGGGGTGGGGCAGACCGGGTTGTAGCCGGCCGGCGGGCTAGAGGAGGTCAGGTGAGTCCTCAGACAACGTGAACGCGGGCGGCGGGGAGGCAGGATCCTCAGAAGGGCCAGACGGGGCGCTGGGTCGAATTGTGGATACAAATGCTAGTTTGGGGCCAACTCTCGTCCGCTCCCCTTGCGCAGGACTCCGGGTTTGGGTTAAAATTCCTCTGAGGCCCCCCGAAACCATGCGGAGTCGGGCCCCTCAAAGCAACCCTTCTTCCTGCGATTCCCAAAGCCTCCCTGAGCACGTGGCAGGTCCGGGGAAAGGGAGCGGCTGAGGGGACGCCGCTCAGCTCCCTGGCTCTAAAAGCCCCTCTTTCTCCTGTGATAAGGCTTGAAATTGTGATAAACGACTATGTATTTCGTAAAAGAGTTCCTACGAAGGGAGGCGAGATTGGAAAAATGCAGTCACATAACAGGACATAGATCAGAGAGAACAACTGATTATTCTGGGGAAGATTCTCGTCTTTGTACGCATCACTATTCCCTCCTTCCTTCTTACCCTTTTTTTCTTTTCTTCTTTCTTTTAACAGGTTTGAATTTGATCTAGGTTTTTGCTGTTTGTGCGTTTGTTTTTGAAATAGGGGCTCTCTCTTGCCCAGTCTGGAGTACAGTGGCATCATCACGCTTCACTGTTGTTTTGAACTCCTGGGCTCAAGAGATCCTCCTGCCTCAGTCTCCAAAAGTGGTGGGACTATACACCACACACCACCATGTCCAGCTAAGTTTCAGTTTTCAACCAACCAGTTAAAGATTTGAAATGTGACACACATGCACTTTTTGCATATCTCTCAAGCCAGAAACCTGTACTCTTTGGTTTGGCACCTCATTCATAGGTGGAAGGGGCAGGACCCACCCTCACCCCCGAATTGGCAACTGCTTCCATCTTCCTTTCTGCACATCTTAAGGTTGCAAGTGCTCTGGGGAGCCCCATTTCGTTGTATTTTATTTTTTAGAGACAGGGTCTCACTCTGTCCACCAGACCGGGGCGCAGTGGTGTGATCATAGCTCACTATAGCCTCAGACTTCTGGACTCTGTCAGTCCTCCTGCCTCAGCCTCCCGAATAGCTGAAACTACAACCCATTGTGCCTAGCTAAATTTTTTTTTTTCTGAAACAGAGTCTCACGATGTCACAGCTCACAGCAACCTCCAACTCTAGGGCTTAAGCGATTCTCTTGCCTCAGCTTCCCAAGTAACTGGGACTATAGGCACCCGCCACAGTGCCCTGCCATTTTTTTGTTGTTGTAGTTAGTCATTGTTGTTTGGCAGCCCAGGGTTGGGTTCAAACCCACCAGCCCCAGTGCATGTGGCCAAGGCCCCAGTTGCTGAGCTACCTATGCTGAGCCAGTGTTTAGATATTTCTTTTCTTTCTTTCTTCTTTTTTTTTTTTTAAAGAGACAGAGTCTCACTTTGTTGCCCTTGGTAGAGTGTTGTGGCATTACAGCTCACAGCAACCTCCAGCTGTGGGCCTAGGCAATTCTCTAGCCTCAGCCTCCCAAGTAGCTGGGACTACAGGCTCCCACCACATCGCCCAGCAATAGATATTTCTTTTCTTTTCTTTTCTTTTCTTTTTTTTTTTTGGAGACAGAGCCTCAGGCTGTCCCCCTGGGTAGAGTGCTGTGGCATCACAGCTCACAGCAACCTCCAACTCCTGGGCTCAAGCGATTCTCCTGCCTCTACCTCCCAAGTAGCTGGGACCACAGGCACCTGCCACAACGCCTGGATATTTTTTTTGGTTGCAGCCGTCATTGTTGTTTGGTGGGCCCAAGCTGGATTCAAACCTGCCACCTTAGGTATATGTGGCTGGCACCTTAGCCACTTGAGCCACAGGTGCCTTAGCCACTTGAGCCAGGGATGAATTAGTCAAAGGACTTAGCCAAATACTTGGTGTTTAGTGATTGATGAATTAGTGTCAACTACAATTTTTTAATATACTATTTTTTATTTTTTTTAATTTTTTTTAAAATTTTTTTTGAGACGGAGCCTCAAGTTATCCCCCGGGTAGAGTGCCATGGCATCACAGCTCACAGCAACCTCCAACTCCTGGGCTCAAGCGAGTCTCCTGCCTCCGCCTCCCAAATAGCTGGGATTACAGGTGCCTACCACAACGCCCGGCCATTTTTTGGTTGCAGCCATCATTGTTGTTTGGCGGGCCGGGCTGGGGATTTGAACCCTCCACCCTAGGTGTATGTGGCTGGCGCCTTAGCTACTTGAGCCACAGGAGCTGAGCCAATAGACTATTTTTTAGAGGGGTTTTAGATTAATAGGAAATTTGAGCAGAAGGTACAGAAAGTTCCCATGTTCCCTGCCTCCCCCACACACAGCCTCCCATACTCTCAGCACTTCTACAAGGTGGGACCCCCATGGACACATAAGCATCACCCAGAATCCATGGCTCACATTAGAGTTCACTCATGGTGATATTCATCCATGGATTTGGATCAATGTATAGTAACATGTGTCCCCCATTATAGCATCCCACAGAGTGGTTCCACTGCCCCCAAACTTCTCTGTGCTCTACCTGGTCATCCTGTTCTCCCCCAACCCCTGATAAACACTGATCTTTTAATGTCTCTATAGTTTTGCCTTTTCCAAAATGTCTTGTAGTTGGAATACTACAGCATGCAGCCTTTTCAGACTGGCTTCTTTCCCTTAGTCATACGCATTAAGCTTCCTACGTGTCTTTTGGTGGCTTGTATACTTTTCTTTCTTTTTTTTTTGAGACAGTCTTACTATGTCGCCCTTGGTAAAGTGCCATGGTGTCACAGCTCACAACAACTCCAACTCTTGGGCTTAAGCGATTCTCTTGCCTCAGCCTCCCAAGTAGCTGGGACTACAGGC